AATGTATAGTACCTTTATGTATGCGTGTTAAAGATATGTAAACCACTAATGGAATTTGAATTATTAAATTATTAATTTTATTATAAAGCTGAAAACTCATGATAAACATATTTTAGGCTACAATAATTATAACCCTAATACCAAATCGCCAAGGGCCAGATTCACGAAGCAGTTACGCAAGCACGTACGAACCTGACCATCTTTTTTCAATCTTTGGCGGCTTTGTTTCCAATTATTAAACAGTTAATGAGCTCCGAAGCACCAGGAGGATGTTTATAACAATAACAACAGTTGATTGGCAAGTTTTCATGCTTGTAAACTGTTTAATAAATGTAAACAAAGCCGTCAAAGATCGAGGAAAGATGTACACGTTCGTAAGTGCTTGCGTAACTGCTTCGTGAATCTGGCCCCAAATTTCTAAAATGTCAGAAGTCCAGATGTTCCAAGTTAAAACCTCTAACACCCTCAAGACAAAAATAATTGTTTTCGAGAACCCTTTCACTTATGACACTTTTAAGCAGCTTCCGAACCACTTGGGCTGGACGGTAGAGCAACGGTGTCGCCTCATGCAGGTCGGCGTTCAATCCCCGACCGTCCAAGTGGTTGGGCACCATTCCTTCCCTCCCCCCCCCCCGTCCCATCCCAAATCCTTATCCTGACTCCATCCCAGTGCTATATGGTCGTAATGGCTTGGCGCTTTTCCCCCTGATAGTTCTGTTCCCTTTCACTCTCCTCCTGTGACCATTCACTCATGGGAGCGGCCAGTCACTCACCCCTCACCAGTACACACCTCTCGTTGCAACCCGTTCTCACAATTTCTTTTAGTCAATATTGACTTATTAAATAAGTGCATATGTGACATACTAATTTATTGTGAATATTTCAGTTTACCTTGAAAAGCTTCATAGAAAACACCGACCTCACCTAACCTTCTTAGTATGTTAAGATAAGCATCTTATTGCTTCGTAATTACAATTATTACCTAACCTATACCTCGTGTGTACTGACCTCCACCCGTCATTGGCTTAACCTCATTATCTTGGAAAATGTGTTCAAGGCGTTCATGAGGTCTCGGTTGAACAAGTCGTTCACCTCGACCCAGGTGTTCACTCACAAGTGTAAATACACAGAAGTATGGGTCGTCCCTGGGTGAATACTTACCTGCCTCGTCCCTGGGTGAATATTTACCTTAATAAGACATTAAGGCATCAACATTCGTAATAAATTAAGTCGATCAAATCGCTGAAGAAAACAAATGAACTCTATAATCTTACCAATCGGTACATGTGTAAGAATCCCATGGCTTCCTGTCGAATGTGTTGACTAATTTCCTGCACTCAGACTCGTCGGTTCAGCAGAGACCTCGCTTCGTGCAGGTCCGCGTTCGATCCCCCGATGATGGTTCAAGCAGATGGGTAACATTCCTTCCTTACATGTTTACACTTTTCCTCATGTCTCTTCCAAGTGCTATATCATGATTCTGGCTTTGGCTGTCTCGTAATTACTTTTATTTTTTCCTGAGGGAGTTTTGATAGTGTAGATAGAAGTATTTTCACGTTCTTGCGATGGAATTAGTGTGAAGTATTATTAGTATTAGTGTTGTGTTGACCCCATTAGTGTTCTTCCGTCATTGGAGTGGCCGGTACTCACGGAGTGACGCTAACACTTGAGCGGGCACTCTGACGTAGCCTCATCTTCCCCACAATCATTGTCAACTATCTATATTGACCGCCAACGGCCATCAATACTCGACATGGTCACCGAACTTGTCATAACATTTCCATCATCACAATTATTTACCTTATATACACGTCTTGCCATTAAAAATAATAATCTTTATTTTCCTTGTTGTAAACTGGCCCCAAATTCCCCCTCCCGCCCGCCCCCCCCCCCCCACCAGACACACACACGATGACAAGTCACTTCACATTATTTGAAAAAAAAACACGATAAATAGCTACGTTTTCCTTTTATAACATTTTAATGCATGTTTTTTTAAGTATTTCAGTGACGTTTGCAACATTAATGTTGCTTGTAAAATTAACTCGGACGTGACACGCTTAACACGGGATTACTATTTCGGAGGAAAACAGAGTTAGGTTAAATTCTTTAAGGTCGCAGTTTGGAATATAAATATTAATAAAAAACATAAAAAATAAATAAAAACCACGTTAAATAGGTTTAAAAAAGGTTTGATAAATCATTAAAGGTTCCCTACAACTGTAAGAAGTTTTGTCAACAAAAAGTTAGTGAGAGGGCGCGTTGGGCTTGGCTTTTGTTCCACCAGCCCCTGCAGGGGTCTGCCAGGGACGACACTGTGGACCACCAGCCCCTGCAGGGGTCTGCCAGGGACGCCAGTGTGGACCACCTGCCCCTGTACTAGTCTGGCAGGGACGCCAGTGTGGACCACCAGCCCCTGTACTAGTCTGGCAGGGACGCCAGTGTGGACCACCTGCCCCTGTACTAGTCAGGCAGGGACCCCAGTGTGGACCACCTGCCCCTGTACTAGTCTGGCAGGGACGCCAGTGTGGACCACCAGCCCCTGCAGGGGTCTGGCAGGGACGACACTGTGGACCACCAGCCCCTGTACTAGTCTGGCAGGGACCCCAGTGTGGACCACCAGCCCCTGTACTAGTCTGGCAGGGACGCCAGTGTGGACCACCAGCCCCTGTACTAGTCTGGCAGGGACGCCAGTGTGGACCACCAGCCCCTGTACTAGTCTGGCAGGGACGCCAGTGTGGACCACCAGCCCCTGTACTAGTCTGGCAGGGACGCCAGTGTGGACCACCAGCCCCTGCAGGGGTCTGGCAGGGACTCCAGTGTGGACCACCAGCCCCTGCAGGGGTCAGGCAGGGACCCCAGTGTGGACCACCAGCCCCTGTACTAGTCTGGCAGGGACGACACTGTGGACCACCAGCCCCTGCAGGGGTCTGGCAGGGACCCGTGTGGACCACCAGCCCCTGTACTAGTCCTGTGGTTAAATAATTTATACCAGCTGGCGAGCTGTTTTCCGCCTGAAGTAGCCTATTTGAGTTGCCTGTAACTTAGGCGCGAATCAACTCAGTGCGAGAGAACTAACCCAAGTTTTGGAGACATGAATACTGGTGGTAGAGCAGTCCGGACTAAAGTTACCAAAGTGTGAATATCAACTACAAGTTTGTTACTGTCGGCTGGTGTGTAACTGCTCAATATAGGAGCCGGTCGGCCGAACGGACAGCACGCTGGACTTGTGATCCTGTGGTCCTGGGTTCGATCCCAGGCGCCGGCGAGAAACAATGGGCAGAGTTTCTTTCAACCTATGCCCCTGTTACCTAGCAGTATAATAGGTACCTGGGTGTTAGTCAGCTGTCACGGGCTGCTTCCTGGGGGTGGAGGCCTGGTCGAGGACCGGGCCGCGGGGACACTAAGCTCCGAAATCATCTCAAGATAACCTCAAGAAGATATCTGGTCCGTGGCGAGAGCACTTCAGGGAACTATGGGGACACGACTACCATCCTTGCAATTACAAACGTTCACAAAATTTTTTATAACTTGATTTAAACATACAATACAGTTTTTTTCTAGAAACAAGACGTGTAGTACATATGTAGAACAAATTCATTCGACAGTTGTTAATGAATGGTCGACACGCACCGCTCCTGTGCCAGGTAAGTCCACTACGGGCTCACCATAGCCCGTGCTACTTGCCCCGCTCCTGTGCCAGGTAAGTCCACTACGGGCTCACCATAGCCCGTGCTACTTGCCCCGCTCCTGTGCCAGGTAAGTCCACTACGGGCTCACCATAGCCCGTGCTACTTGCCCCGCTCCTGTGCCAGGTAAGTCCACTACGGGCTCACCATAGCCCGTGCTACTTGCCCCGCTCCTGTGCCAGGTAAGTTACGGGCTCACCATAGCCCGTGCTACTTGGAACTTGTTCCGAGTAGCTGAATCTATAACAACAACAACAACACATAACAGCTTGTGGAGGTCTCCCAATATACCTTAGTGACGCCGCTAATTACTTAGATAAACTGTTTTTGTATTATAAACCTTTGCTTTAAATCAGCAGAAATAAGCGACTAGTAGCGCAGTGGTTAGCATAGTCGACTCACAACACTTTGGCCCAGAGTTAGATTCCCGGGCAGGGCGAGGTGTTTGGATGAGCATATGTCCTTACCCATGATGCCTGTGTTCACCTAGTAGTTAATAGGTACCTGGGAGTTACCCAGTTGTGGTGGGTTGTAAATTGAGGAATGATCAGCCGCTGGCTAGGGGTCCCTCGGCACGCTTATCAGTTGTGTTCTCCCCGAGAACACACAGCGAGCTGGTGGACGGTGTTAACACCCAGCCCCTGTCACGTGACAGTCTCCCAGACATTACGTGCTCACCATAGCCCGTGCTACTGGAACTTATTGTTCTGAGTAGCGAATCTTAAACAACAAACAACTCCCAGACGCCTGTCACGTGTTACACCTGCTGGAGATACTCGTTGACTTCTCTAATATTTGAGATTTTTTTATAGGGAAGGTTGGGTGAATGACATAATTAACTAAGAAATACATATTACTTAAGATTATTTCCTTTAAATCTTCAACGTAAGAGACAAGGGGAGACAAGGCCAAGGAGTTACAGTGTGGAGCAGACAGGCAGAGTCCACACTCGGGGTGGTGAACCAGTAATACCAAACAATTAGACAGTTCAAAATATAGCTGGGAAAAATCCTGAGAAATACCGGGGGGCTCACAAAAGTTCTGGGTCAGGATTCGTGAAGCATTTATGCAACCACTTAGGCAGCCTTTACATCTTTTCTTAATCATGGCGACTTTGTTTACATTTATTAAACAGCTTACCAGCTTATAAATTTCACCTGAATTGTTACAAACAGCCTCGTAGTGCTCCGGAGCTCCTAAACTCTTTTATAAATGTAAACAAACTCTCCGTGATTGAGGAACATGAATACGATTCACGAGAGGTTGTATATATTGTTGATGACTCCTGATGCTGCTGAGGTGTAAAGTGACTCAGACTAAAGTGAATTGTTCATTTGACTCACCTGAATGTCTGCGTCGTCGTGGTGAGTGTCGGAGGTGGAGGGCCTGGGGGTCCTCCTTCAGGTACTCGTAGAGCGGGTCGGAGTAGGACCGTCTATGGATGGTGCGGTGTGTGGTGGTGCGCCTGGAGGGTCGCTCCTGGCTGCTGCCCAGTGAAGGCAGCGCCGTGCCTACCCCACCATGGGGAGGGGCCTGCCCGCTCCCTACCACATCACTGATTCTATGTGATCTACCACCCTGTCCTTTCCTTCCACCTGCACCACCACCGTTCCATTGTTCCCTGAGAGCTTTAGCCTGAGGGGGACGCTCATGCACTTGACTGGTGGCGCCCCTGGCTACTGCCCACTGGCCGGGAGCGCCATTGTTACGGTGATCCACACTCTTAAACTTGGTGGAGTGCCTGAGCCCGCTGGTGCGCGCCTGCACACTGCTGCCCTGGCGCGGTGCTGGGTGTCCCGGGCTGTAGTTTGTACTGAAGTTCACTCTGTCGGACCTCACATGTCTCTCACTCTCGTCACTCACTGCGCAGCGACCTCTACTTGGCGCATTGTTATTGTCGACACGCTTGCTATCACTGTTTCTAACTTGGAGATCACGACCCGCGGAACTACGGATGTCCCTCGTGTGAGAGTTCGGCGGCAATGCATAGTTAGACTGAGTACTCGGTTGAGGAGCCTTGCTTGTGAAGTGGTTCTGAAGGAGGTGCCGTATATCACTTTGGCTTGGGTTTGGGTAACTGGCGCGAGCGACGCGACTAGCCTCGTCTCCCGTGTTATTGACTATTGAACAGTTACCGCTGACTTTATCATATCCATGCTTTGTACTTGACAGTTTGTGCTCGGAAGACCTTAACTTTTGTTTTTTACTTATCACAGGGCTCAGGTTTCTATTTCTATGCGTTTTATCTAAGTAAATTTCATTTGTATTATTGTAAGCTTTGTGAAGATTATATTTGTACAAGTTTTCGTTGAAATAATTAGGTGAGCCATTTTCTATGGTATGTACAGGTAACATTCGTTTTCTGTGATCAACTTCTGCGCTAAACCGCGATTCTTGAACATTTAATGGGTACCGTTGCTTAGGATAATTCAACGGGGCTTGTACAATTTCCTGAGATTTTAACGGGAGAGATGAAGTGTGAGATCGACCACGCACAAACGGAGAGCTGGCAGACGGTCTGCGGGGGCCGGAGCTCCAGTTATGTGACGGTCGCCTCAAAGGCCTACTGCTGTGACGGGTTAGACCATTTCTGCCCAAGAACCACTTCCCGAAGATATTCCTCGGGTTGTGGGTATGAGAGTTATAGGACGAATCGGCTTCGCCATCACTGCTTACCACCACCAGCTCGTCGCTATCGTCCAGAGACCGAGACAGGGGCGGGTCGTCGAAGGCAAATCCTACACCGCCCTGAGGAAAGACGGGGGTCGATAGACCACCGTTGCTTAGAGGAGGACGAAGCTCCGGACCAAAATCCTTGAGTTCGTCCTTGAGATCGTACAATTCCCAAGGACTTATGGGATCGCTGTCCTCCTCATCCTCCTCCTCCATATAGGATGACTTAGAAAAAGCAGCGAGGGGGTCCGCCGTGTGGTCCTTGTGGGTGTAGGAAGCGGTGTAGGAGACCTGATCCTTGAGACCGTTCCAGAGGCGTAGTAGCTCCAGCGGTCTCTCCCATCCGGCCACCACACGCACTGTTAACACAAGAATATGTATATTAGACGGTATATATGTATATATGTATATTGGACCATTCTCAATCGACTTGAGAATGGTCCAGGACGGACCGAAACGTCGTCGTCCCTTCACCTTCTAGTGTGTGGTCTGGTCAACATGTATATTAGACTCCTCCGCTACACTATCAAGTGGAGTACAGTATACATGATCCCACCAACAGTACTAAATCAATACTACTCGATCATCATTACTCACAATCAACGATACTATATCACTATTACTGACAATCATTAATACTTAACTTACAGTATTCCATCAACAGTACAGTATTATTCATCTGGATTACATAGCCTCGCAGGAAACTATATATCTACAATTAGTCTATTTGCCTAAATTCAGATCGAATAAAAGAAGTTAATCAAGACTAACAATTCCTTGTGGTAACATCATGTTAATCTATATATATATATATATATATATATATATATATATATATATATATATATATATATATATATATATATATATATATATATATATATATATATATATATATATAATATAACTGAAAACTCACACCCCAGAAGTGACTCGAACCCATACTGCCAGGAGCACTCTGCATCTGGCGTACAGGACAGCTTAACCACTCGACCAACACGACCGGACAAAAGAGGATGGTAGCCGAGGCTAATTCCCCATCCCCCCGCCGGCACTCTGATGGTAATCTTCGGCATGGTATTTTATCAATTACCTCATTCTTTGATATCATCCTCTTTTGTCCGGTCGTGTTGGTCGAGTGTTTTTTTCATAAATATGTCATTAAATACCCATGTTTTAATCATTACTCTTTTGGAAGATGATTACTGAAGATAAATGGTCTAATTATTGATGGGACTAATTGCCACGTGGCCGGGGACTATAATTACACTACTGTCAAGGGGAAGGGGACTTGTAATTAGTAATTGTATAATTGTAACTTGTATAGTAATTACTAATTACTATAAAGGCTAGGAGATTGATTATTTCGCGGCTGATGGATGAAACAGTCCGTAAATATTGGACCATTTTTGACTGGGGAAATAATTTTACCGTTGATCGAAGACTTAATTTCTTCATGGCTAGGAGACTAATTAATTCCTAGTCTCCTGTGGCGAGGAGACATTATCTCCCTGCCTAAGTGACGAATTATCCCCTGATTAGAATTAATTCCCTGTTACTAGTACTAATTCCTAATTCCCTGTTACTAGTACTAATTTTCCTGTGACTAAGGTTGTAATTATTTAATGAGGTAATATATTATTCTACGATAAGTGTCATGCAGTCGTCTGCCCACAATAGCCGGAACAACGGCAACAGCCCAATACTGACATTCTTTACCTTGTTGTTCGCTGTTTTAGATTTAGCTACTCAGAACGAAATGTCCATGTAGCACGGCCTATGGTGAGCCCGTAACATTCTTTACCCGTCAATCTTGTTTATGTACAAACCTATTACCGCCACACCTCACTCAGACACCTACAAGTGGACAGGCTTACCTGGAGGTTACCTTGAGGTGCTTCCGGGGCTTAGCGTCCCTGCGGCCCGGTCGTCAACCAAGCCACTAAACTTTACATCCAACCTTTACTGTATTGTAGATTCCCATTCTTTACCAAATCCTTTGGACATCAAAACGAAGTCAAAATGTAGTGTTGAACGTACCTCCGAGCGGTGAAGCCTCCAGCAGGTGGGGTAAGGGGTCCCCGGTGTCCCTGACACAAGCGGCCACGTCCCTGAAGGTGGTGACGGGTGTCAGGGGCACCCACGACACTCCCCCGTCCTCCCGCCACACGCCCAGGATCTCCTACAAGAGAGACAGATCGGTCTTATGGTCCTGTAGAAGGCGAGGGAGCTGGAGGTAGGCACCAGTCTACAGTGTTATGGGTAAATACTTACACAGTAAACACACACATATATATATATATATATATATATATATATATATATATATATATATATATATATATATATATATATATATATATATATATATATATATATATATATATATATGGAGAGAAGGGAAAATAGGAGAGGGAGAAAAGTGTAATGGGGGAACATTAGGTGAAAGGGGAAGGGTGGAAAGAGTGGGCGAAAAGAAGGGGGGGAGACAAAATAACCCGGGCACCGCCGGGTACTCCTCCTAGTATATATATATATATATATATATATATATATATATTATACACAAAATATGAGAATCAAAATGCGTGTAATAAGAGGCGTGATCTACCGGAAGTGGCCGGGTGAGTGTTGCCATCACCAGTGTTTGTTGATATCATAACTGCATTATTGCCATCTTATGGTCAAATTTAATCTCTGCTGTGTAATCTTACCATCATTACGAACTTAAAATGTTATACACACCTTTCAATGTGAAAAACCATTGCTAATGATTGTTTTGCAGAATGTACCCCCCCAAAAACTTGTTATCAATGCGACATTGTAAACATTATGAACTCGTTCACATCCATTGAGGAATAATACCAACCTGATTTCTTTTTTACCGAGCGGTATTACCACCTTGAAATGTTTTTGCTGATGTTCAATACTGCCATTGTTATATTATGTTCAGAAGACTTATCTTGATATTAGTCTATTAATCGTTATTTTTTGTGTTAAGCCTTTTTGGCGCGCAGGGAGGCTTGTGTTGGTTGGTTTGTTGAAGCGTTACACTGCGACTCCGTTCATGGACATTCCGGTGGTGTGTCCGTGTCCACCAGTGGTGTGTCCGTGGCCACCAGAGTCCACCAGGTCCACCAGTGGTGTGTCCGTGGCCACCAGTGGTGTGTCCGTGGCCACCAGTGGTGTGTCCGTGGCCACCAGAGTCCACCAGATCCTCCAGTGGTGTGTCCGTGGCCACCAGTGGTGTGTCCGTGGCCACCAGAGTCCACCAGGTCCACCAGTGGTGTGTCCGTGGCCACCAGTGGTGTGTCCGTGGCCACCAGAGTCCACCAGTGGTGTGTCCGTGGCCACCAGAGTCCACCAGTGGTGTGTCCGTGTCCACCAGTGGTGTGTCCGTGTCCACCAGTGGTGTGTCCGTGGCCACCAGAGTCCACCAGTGGTGTGTCCGTGTCCACCAGTGGTGTGTCCGTGGCCACCAGAGTCCACCAGTGGTGTGTCCGTGTCCACCAGTGGTGTGTCCGTGGCCACCAGTTGTGTGTCCGTGGCCACCAGAGTCCACCAGGTCCACCAGTGGTGTGTCCGTGGCCACCAGAGTCCACCACAGGTGTTCCCAGTAACCTTAATTCAAGAAAATTTCTATCCGAGCTCCAAAAATAATCTCTTAGATAACGACAAGAACGGCTGCTGCTGTACCCCGGTCCCGCCCAACACGCCCTCCCGGGGGACAGACCGTCTACCTCGGGTTGCAAGTAACGACAAGGACACGTGGCCAGGCAGATGCTGGTCGTCCTCGTGGCCTGATCAATGAAACGTGTGCAGAGATAAGGCCAGGAGAGGAGTGGCGGGGTCTTGGACCAGCTCCAAAAGGTGTCTGGCTGGTGGCTGGGACCTCCACTCTCACCTACGGCTCCTGCCCTCCGACTTGAACAATTCCGCCACCTCACCTACCTTACATTTCTTAATAAAACCAAATCTCCATTTACCCCCCGAATAAATACGACACCAAGGGCATGAGCTGACAGTACAAGGGCAATAGTGAGGACACAGCGAGGACGCCGTCTGTGTCGCAATGTGCAGTTTCCAGCCAAAATTATAACAAAATAACGCATTTAACTTTTATTTTAATATTCCAGTAAATTAGTACAAAAATAAGCAAATGAGAGCATTACGGGAACGTGTCTATAGGACCCTTAGTTGGATAATAGATAAGATAAGGGAAATTGTATGCGGACTTTTGTCCCATACGAGGCAGCTGCTATTGTCCCATACGAGGCAGCTGCTATTGTCCCATACGAGGCAGCTGCTATTGTCCCATACGAGGCAGCTGCTATTGTCCCATACGAGGCAGCTGCTGTTGTCCCATACGAGGCAGCTGCTATTGTCCCATACGAGGCAGCTGCTGTTGTCCCATACGAGGCAGCTGCTATTGTCCCATACGAGGCAGCTGCTATTGTCCCATACGAGGCAGCTGCTATTGTCCCATACGAGGCAGCTGCTATTGTCCCATACGAGGCAGCTGCTATTGTCCCATACGAGGCAGCTGCTATTGTCCCATACGAGGCAGCTGCTGTTGTCCCATACGAGGCAGCTGCTATTGTCCCATACGAGGCAGCTGCTGTTGTCCCATACGAGGCAGCTGCTATTGTCCCATACGAGGCAGCTGCTATTGTCCCATACGAGGCAGCTGCTATTGTCCCATACGAGGCAGCTGCTATTGTCCCATACGAGGCAGCTGCTATTGTCCCATACGAGGCAGCTGCTATTGTCCCATACGAGGCAGCTGCTGTTGTCCCATACGAGGCAGCTGCTATTGTCCCATACGAGGCAGCTGCTGTTGTCCCATACGAGGCAGCTGCTATTGTCCCGTACGAGGCAACTGCTGTTGTTCCATACGAGGCAGCTGCTATTGTCCCATACGAGGCAGCTGCTATTGTCCCATACGAGGCAGCTGCTATTGTCCCATACGAGGCAGCTGCTGTTGTCCCATACGAGGCAGCTGCTGTTGTCCCATACGAGGCAGCTGCTATTGTCCCATACGAGGCAGCTGCTGTTGTCCCATACGAGGCAGCTGTTGTTGTCCCATACGAGGCAGCTGCTATTGTCCCATACGAGGCAGCTGCTATTGTCCCATACGAGGCAGCTGCTGTTGTCCCATACGAGGCAGCTGCTATTGTCCCGTACGAGGCAACTGCTGTTGTTCCATACGAGGCAGCTGCTATTGTCCCATACGAGGCAGCTGCTATTGTCCCATACGAGGCAGCTGCTATTGTCCCATACGAGGCAGCTGCTATTGTCCCATACGAGGCAGCTGCTATTGTCCCATACGAGGCAGCTGCTGTTGTCCCATACGAGGCAGCTGCTATTGTCCCGTACGAGGCAACTGCTGTTGTTCCATACGAGGCAGCTGCTATTGTCCCATACGAGGCAGCTGTTGTTCCATACGAGGCAGCTGCTATTGTCCCATACGATACAGCTGTTATTGTCCCATACGAGGCAGCTGCTGTTGTCCCATACGAGGCAGCTGTTGTCCCATACGAGGCAGCTGCTATTGTCCCATACGATACAGCTGCTATTGTCCCATACGAGGCAGCTGCTGTTGTCCCATACGAGGCAGCTGTTGTCCCATACGAGGCAGCTGCTATTGTTCCATACGATACAGCTGCTATTTATATCCACCCAACTCGCTCACCTTAAAGATGGCGACACCGTTCTCTGGAAGTTTTACAAGTATTCGGAGAAAACTTTCAATAATCTAACACGTATCTAAACCACACAATTATCAGTGTACTTTGTCTCTCAACCTCTTATACATAAGCCAATGAAGCTTTATACAAGCAGTTAGTGATGACCTGCACTGTACAAGCAGGTAGTGATGACCAGTACTGTACAAGCAGCTAGTGAACACAATACCATGAGGCTATCCGCCTATGAGATAATACTCCCTCGCGTTCGGGAGACTTTGCTTCATTATACAACTGTAACACTATGTTTTATCTAGTTATAAACATCAAAAGAACTATATGTATGATTTATATCTCATGTGTATATATATTTCCTCTCTTAAGGTGATAACAGATAGAGCCCTCTCCCCCTCCCCTTCCCCCACAAAATTCTGGATGCTGACGTCACTTCCGTAAACATATTATGACGAGATATAATTCATTCGGGGAAGTCTACCAGACTGAATAATGTAACTAATATTGTAAGTTTAGTGTAAATGTATATGGTAATGTGTGTAGAGGTGTTCACATACATAAATGTAGACTTTAACTGGGTTTAACATATGGTGATCTTAGGCTAGCAGACTCAAAAATTGACACTAGGGAAGATGCGAACGGCCGGTTGTGATTATCTGAGAGGAAGGTGTGGCCCAGCAGGAAGGTGTGGCCCAGCAGGAAGGTGTGGCCCAGCAGGAAGGTATGGCCCAGCAGGAGGAAGGTGTGGCCCAGCAGGAAGGTGTGGCCCAGCAGGAAGGTATGGCCCAGCAGGAGGAAGGTGTGGCCCAGCAGGAGGAAGGTGTGGCCCAGCAGGAAGGTGTGGCCCAGCAGGAAGGTGTGGCCCAGCAGGAGGAAGGTGTGGCCCAGGAGGAAGGTGTGGCCCAGCAGGAGGAAGGTGTGGCCCAGCAGGAAGGTATGGCCCAGCAGGAAGGTATGGCCCAGCAGGAAGGTATGGCCCAGCAGGAGGAAGGTGTGGCCCAGCAGGAGGAAGGTGTGGCCCAGCAGGAAGGTGTGGCCCAGGAGGAAGGTGTGGCCCAGCAGGAGGAAGGTGTGGCCCAGCAGGAAGGTGTGGCCCAGGAGGAAGGTGTGGCCCAGGAGGAAGGTATGGCCCAGCAGGAAGGTATGGCCCAGCAGGCCCACACCACAGGAAGCGCCGCTCACAATTTCAAAGGCAGATGTGATAAAAAATTAGGCTTGGAAGCACCATACATGACACCCGCCAGGTGAAAATGTTCCATTCTACACGCACAAATAGCTGAATACAAATGCGTACACAGGTATACACACGGGGGTGGCGTACACAGGTGTACACACGGGGTGGCGTACACAGGTGTACACACGGTGTGACGTACACGTACACTGCGGCCCATCACGTAATACCCTTGACCTTTTAATACTTTTGAGAGCATCCATCCTCAGTCAGCACCTCCTAGACGACCCCATCCTCACCAGGGGGATCCTC